AGTGCTCTGAGGTGGCACCCAGCATTCTCTCTCCCTCACATGCTCAGCTGTTTGGTTCTTGCTCACATGCTCAAAGTCTAACTGTAAGGGGAAAATTCCTTCCGAGCCCCACAATGTCACATTGGCAGTGACTGGGTGTTTTTCACCTTCCTCTGCAGTGCCGGGTGCAGGTCACTTGCTGGGTTAATTAGGTAATCTCACTTAATTCTCTGCCATGCAGGATCTCAGGCACTGGTGCATCTCAGTCCCTCCTATTTTCTGCCTTTGGCACATGATAGGTTAGGCTCCTTTGGCCTGTAATATTTTGGTCTAATTTTGGTTGTTGAGAGGTGTGTGTGGGTGCTAAATGGTGTTCGTGGTCTGGGATATACAGGAGGCCAGACTAGTTGATATGATGGTCCCTTCTGGACTTTAACTCCATTACCTTGCTATGATCAAAAGTTAAATTCTTAAATTGAGTTTTGAAAAAAAGCCAACAATTTTTTTTCTTTTAACTACAGAGAAACCTCATGGATTGGAAAGATGAGTAGGCAACTACTCTCACACTGTCATACAACTACTGCATCCTAATATTCTAGGACAAGGCTGATGAATTACATTCTTCAAAATTCCAGGAGTTTGGGAATTACCAAGCTAGTATGTTAGCAGTGTGGGGGGTTTTATCTTCAAGAGGAGCAACTTCATTAACATTATCAAAATAAAACCTTTTTCTATGCTACCCATACTATTTTACTAGGCTATCCTACTCCAAATAGTGACTTGGTGCTAAAGGTGGACTGAAAAATTAATTGATGGCCCAATCCTGCAAACACTTACTCACATGAGTAGCCCTTACCCAGAGGGAGAGAGAAATGTCTTGTGAATTAAGGAAACAGACTATGAGTAGAAGATGGTTAGAAATCTGGTAAGCTAGACATGCGTTTTGTCTGTTTTATTATTTTAAGATCTGATGTATTACTCATCAGAACAAAAGCATTTCAGAAAACTTTGCTGTTATTGCTCCTGGAGGGAACAGAATTGCAGGGTAAGGACATAAAGTCAGATCTCCTGAGATAAATCGTGTTGAGACACAGAAGACTAATCCAGGGCCTGTTCTGAGAATGGGAGAATAGTGTGACTCCATCCTGAGAAAAGTGATGGCTTGAGGGCTGAGGCCTGAGAGGGGGTGTGCTCAAAGAGATCAGGAGGTATGAGATGAGCATTTAGCCCCGTAACTGTGACAGCTCTGACCCAGCAAATTACATAAGCAGATGTGTCTGTGTGCCACCCACCCAGGTTTGCTTACAAGCTTCTAGTGACATATGTGCTGAATCAGAGCCTAAATTAGTTACTTTAAGATGCTATTTTATTTTGATCACTCACAATGTGCTCATAGGTGTATGGCTATTGAAGAAGACATTGAATGAGATTAAGGTACAGTATGCAATATTTATACGAGTAAAGGTTTATGGGATAGGGCCATTAAAGAGCACTCCTACTGTAACTCTGTAAGGGACTAGTTTTGTACAAGGAAGGTAAGTGGTCCTTAAATAAGCAACACATTGAAAGAAGCCTTCTTGGGGAAATGTCTGCAATAAGCAATTCATTACAGCACAGCTGAATCTGTCATTATCACTATATCTAAAGCTGTGCCACTTAACTTTCACTTCTTCTTAAAACCAGTTAATTCAGAAATACTGAATGCCTTCCAATCTAGCAAATTTTCCAGAGAGCATAAGTGTGTGGCTGCTGTGGGAGCATTATCACAAGCTCCAACTGGCACCAGTATGGAGAGAAGATGTGGAGAGAGAGGACATGCCTTGCAAGCTCCCCACGCTGAATACAAATGTTGACTGGCTGCAAAAGCAATTGGGCCAAAAAAAAAAAAAGGGAGTATTGCCAAAGGCCAAGAGTGTGATGTGTCTTTCCCCAGAATGACAATCTTTACAGCTGTTACCTCTGTTTTATTGTGCCTCTTGATTTCTCTTTCCCCTCTCATTTCCACAGTCCCCCCACCCCGCTCTGCTGGAGGCCTATCCAGCTGTTTCTTAGGCCATGTCTATACTACAAAATTATGTCAACCTAACTTATGTCAGGATAGAGCCACCGCAGTTATTAAATTGCTTGTGTGTGTGCGTGTGTGCGCACGCTTGGCTCCTGTCAGTGGTGCATGTCCTCACCAGGAGCATCTTTATCAATTGTATTGTCAGTGTGGAACAAGGGATGGCTCCAGAGGCCAGCAAGTCAACGTAAGCAACGCAGTGTCTACACTGACACTGCATTGACCTAATTACATTGACCGTGACTCTACACCGCTCGGGGAGGTGGTGTTACTAAATCAGCATAGAGAGGTACTTAGCAAGCAGGAGCCAAATTTCAGTGAAGACACTTCCACAGCTAAGTCAATGCAAGGCAGCTTATGTCGACCTAACTGTGTAGTGCAGACCAGGCCTTACTTTCCTGTCAGCTTTGCCTCTTGTCTCTTCCCCTACTTGGGAAGGCAGCCTCTTTTAACCACGTTCATCAGTCTCCCCTTCCTTATGTACTTACGCCCCCCAACAGCTTTGTAGTAGGAAAGTATTTTGTGAGTGGGTCCCTGGTCCATTCTCTCAATTAGTGCAGCTACTGCAGATGCTAGCACTTGGGTGCTGTATGCCCAGAGGACCACGATTCAATGGCAAGTTTGACTGTAGGGGAGCAGCAAACTGGTGTCGGCACATAGTGAATTTAACAGCAGCTGCTGCTTACAGGGGATCATGCTGGAAAAAAATCTCATGCAACATGGTCTATTCTCATGTGCGTTTGAGTCTATTTTCCAAAGTATTTCCTTGCCCTTCTGTTTGAAGGAAATAACTCCTCATTTTTTGCTTTGTGATGGATTACCACCAAAGCACATTATTTTCTTTACATCTAAGTGGATAGTGCTGAGCAAAATTATTCACCCAAGTCTAGAGTTTGTTTGGTTTTTGTGTTCCTTTTACATTGATTTTGATTCATTATTGACCCTTCTAGGATTAAACAGAGAAAATAATTCAAGCGTGTTTAGAACATATGAAAGACAGATGCATTCTTACTTCTGCCACTTTAGCTGGTATGATGTTTCCTTCATACGGGCATCCCAGTGCACAAGATACATACCTACATTCAAAAGGACAGACATAGATAAGTGTATACAATGTACGCATATATATTATGCATATCTACTTATTAAATGCAACAAAATGTTAATGCAAGAATAAGGTTGCACAATTAGGTCAAGACATGCAAAATAAAGGTTGCAAATAGAGAACTACTATTTTTCTTTTAACTCTAAACATGTAGTTTGATATACTTCTCTTCATGCTCAATGCATATCATCAAATATAAAGGACAGGGAACATGGCCAATATAATGCTGTTGCTGGAAACTTCACTTAACGTTTCCAAAGTCAGACTTTTTTGTTTTATACTTATCTGTATGAAAAAAGTAGCCTTTTTTTAACAGTGAGATGGGATTATAATCTATAATCAGTATAAAAGTGGTAATTTTTACATAATATACAGGATATATTTACACATAAATGAAACATATTTTACATACGCATGTACATAACAGTACATCAGAGCAAGAAGAATTGCATCTGATTGGGATGTGGTATGAACGACCCCTGAAGCAGAGTGGGGAAAACATGTGCTTAAAGGGCAATGATGTACTCCTACCCCTTCACACAAGCTAGCAGAAGCGCTGCCCTGCTAGGCTTACATAACACAGATGGGCATGGAGGTATGGGAGGGCATGGCAAGGTAGAAGGTGGAAAGTAAACCTAGGCAGCACTTACTCTACTCAGACATTCCCCTCAAATGCCAATGGACTTCCAAGCAGAAATCCACCCGGTGAGTGGTGTAATTAAAGTGTGATTTTTGTAAGTTCAACAGAGTCTGTTCCACATAAATGATGTTGCCAAAGGAATCTCTACAGTATAGAACTGGGAGAAAATTGAAATCTGCAGGGTTCTTACTGGCATTAACATTCTTCTGAGGAGCTTCCCCTCACCTCATGGAAAGTCTTAGGGCTTGATCCAAAGCCCACTGAAGTCAATGGGAGCCTGTCCATTGACTTAAAAATAGGTTTTGATCATATCCCTAGGACTTAATCCTGCAGGGTACTCAGCACTCTGGCCATGATCCACTGAAGCACACAGCTATCTTTAAGCATGTGCTTATGATCTTCATTGAATCAGGACCAGAGTGCCAGCAGTTTGCAAGACAGAGTCCTTTGTATACAATCAAGGAAACAGCAGAACGTACCCAAAACCATGCATCCAGAAGTGAGGAGAAGGCCAGCCAGGAATGTGAGGGGATCCATATGCTTCAGGAATCATGCAGCTGTAACTTTATTTCCCCATAGAATCCCAGGTTCTGCAAGATTGGGGGAATTCCCATGAGATTAGAATCCCTCTTAGTCTTCAGTACAAGAACGAAAAAAGAGAAACTCTGCAAGGTTCACCTTGTTGAGTTTCCCCAAGCCCTTTTCCCCTGCTCAGAGTTTCACTGAAGGTGGGTATCATTTGGCCCTATCCTAGTTATATCCAACCCCTCCCCCTCCCCCAAATTTCTTGTATAATATTTTGAACGGAAATGTTGAATGGTCACAACGGGTCAGCAGGGGGAAGGAAGATTGTTCAACATTCCCCAACAACCAAAACCAAATGGCAAATGATCCACAAATGGCGTGTACACTATGTGGTCCCTGCAACCAAAGCACATTGGGAACAGGAGCCCAGTTCTATCACTACACAGGCCTTGCAAAAGACTCTCACGTGCTGGACATTAGCTACACACAGAATAACTGAGCAAATTTATCACAACCAAAGTGCATTAAAAGCAAAATAAATCCAAGAAGAAACTAAATTCTACAATGCTATCAGCTCTTTGTCAGCTTGTTTCAGAGATAGTTCCAGACCCAGATCCACCCCTGCTATCACCTGTGGAAGTGTGCAGCCTCTAGAGAAGCCAGGTGCAGATTCATATGCTGCTGTTTCCTGTTTAGTATTATAGTGCAAGGCAGCATCTAGTATACCATGTTCGCTGCAGATGTATTTATTTTTATTGGCTAATCGTGCTAAAATGTATATGCCCATCAGTAGGTGAATTCATAATAAGTTGATATACTAGGTCCTCTTGGAGGAAGCCATTTGTCAGAAACAACCAGCCTTTACTACAAGAAGGGATGTGTGGGAGGGTGTGACAGTAGATTCCCCCAGAAAGAGATTCTCCAAGCCAAGACCAAAATGTGTCAATCAGAACAGGATCATTATATTGACATTTTAGTTTTCCTTATTAAAAAAGTAACAAAATTACATTTATATAGTGCTCATTTGCAAATGGCATTAAACAGACTATTCAAAACTACTATTATTATATTGCAGTAGCACCTTAGAGCCACTGTCATGCACCAGGACCCCATTGTGCTAGGTGCTGTACAAGACAGAATAAATATCTCCTTTAAAAAACAACTCTTTTAAAGATATGAACAAAAAATATATAAAGCACATAATACTGAAACATAAGTTAGTTAGTTTAGACCAGAGGTCGGCAACGTTCGGCATGCGGCTCGCCAGGGTAAGCACCCTGGCGGGCCGGGCCAGTTTTATTTACCTGCTGACGCGGCAGGTTCGGCCGATCGCGGCCCCCACTGGCCGCAGTTCGCCGTCCCGGGCCAATGGGGGCGGCGAAAAGCGGCGCGGGCGAGCAATGTGCAGGGATATCTCTTATTCAAAAGATGGGCTAGATCCTCTGTCCCATTAAGGCTATTTTTTACCTTTCTGGTGGCATAAAGCATCCTGCATTTCACAGAGTTTAAAGGGCTCCATGTGGATTCCCTCTGCACAGGGGGTTTGGTATAGGGCCACCATCATGGCTGAACCTTCTTCTTAACCCTCCCCTGTGCTGGTGTTTGGTCATGGCAAAGGGGACAGGCTTGGGGTACCCCATTTCCCACTGATCCATGGCTGCCAAAACTTCTCCTTGGGACTGTGGGTAGCTGACCTAATATAGAGCAAGAATATAGAACAATTTACCACTCAAGTGCTAAAATGTGTTCTTCCAATTACTATTAAGGGCTTGTCTATACCATTTTGGTGCAATTTCAAGTGTGGATACAGTTATATCCATATAGAGTATTTATATCAAAACAGCTGATTTTGTTAAATTTACTAAATATAAATATGCTAAAGTAAATATGTAACTGCATCCACAGTAAGGAGTTACACAAAGCATTACAAAATTTTGTGTAGACCAGCCCTCAAGGATCCTAGCATGCAAGAAAAATCATCACGAGACCAAAGTTTCTATTTGTATTAATAAAAAAAAATACACTGCTTTGAAAAGTATTGATTTGCACCAAGTTAGGTTGTTGGTGTTTAGTTCGTAGTATAATAAACAGTTTTATATGTGAAGAAAATGAAGCACTTTAAAGCCAGACTTGGCTTAAACAAAATTGCTGAAATCAGGGAAGCTGAGCTGAGCCATAATAGAAGGGAAAGAGACATTACTGAGCTGGATTAACAAGAAAATTGTGCTTGAAACAGAGAAAGGTTTAGTGTGATGTTGTATCAATACAGATTAGCGTATTTTGGTAATTGAAACTTTTCAATTATTTTTTAAATGAAGAGCTGTCTATTAATTTTTAACACTCCTTATTGTGAAAATATTTACTGAAGTAAAAAAAAAAAACCCTCCTGCTATAAAAAACTAAATATTGTGGAGATAACAAGCAAGTTTTCCAAATATTTTATTTCAAATAAGTTCAAACATGACCACAACCAATAACAGAATAGAACACCTAAAATAAATAGTGATTCTGCAATCCCTCCTCCATCCCCATTATTTTGCATCCTATTGTGTGTGTTATCATGGAAGGAAAAACAATACCTTTTTCCCCCATATATTTAACAGTGGAAGATTCTTTTTAGTACACTGGAGCTTTTTCTTTAACATAAATGAGAAAATAGTCTTACTTGGAGTCTTACATGTACTAAACAATGATTTACAAAAGGCTTAGTGCTATAACATCCATATTCCATGGCATAAAATAAGTAACAAAATAAACAAAGAGTATACTGTATTTATATATCTCAAGCTTTGAATAAGTCAACTGGTGGTCAAATGATGCTCAAACCTAGAGATAAACTAAATCATGTCAGACATTCCAATGTTCTTTTGCGATACTGAGAAATCCATAATACTGGTCATTTTTAAAATCTAAGGATTCAAAAAGAAAACATATTTGAAAGAATAATATATAATAATTTCGAATTGCATGACTTAAAAAGTGGAAGCTTTTACAAGGACATATTTTAGAATTAGAGCAGTTTTTTTATTATGTTGAGTATTTCTTTGTATTTTCCAGTTCTATGGCCTTGATCCTGAAGACACTTGCACAAATGAGTGACTTTACACATGTGGGTCTCCCCAATGCCCTCAGAGACTACTCACATGCAGAAGCATTTTCAGGATGGGAGCATACATTTATATGTGGTGCTGGGTTTTTTGTTTTGCTTTGTTTTTAAGTTAAAGTAGAAACACATACTTCTGTCATTTTTACTGTTATATTTGCATATCAATTTCTGACCCAGAGAGACAGTCCTAAAGAACTTACACATGCATTGGAGCATTTACAATTTACGTGTGTCTTTTGAAGTTTTTGAATATATTAACGTGAAAGGAATCTAGCCTAACCAGAATTTACTTAACATTTTCTTCTTATGCTACATTTAGATTTACTAATAAAACACAAGTGAATACTTGCAATTATCATGTGCCATGGTTTTCCATTAACCCCATCTGTTTTGCTTCATTTTAATCACTGGGAAAATATGTGATATTTTCAATGTTACCTGAATTACACATTAAAGAGCAAAATTGTAAAGGCAGAAGTTTTAATGCCATTTCACATGCAAAATATACACAGGAGTCATTAGATGACCACAGATTTGGCACAGTGTCCTCACAGAATGTGTCCCAGATGTTATTGTAAAGTTTTGTGCACATTTAAAAAAAAAAAAAAAACCTTTATGACACCAATAAATGGCACAATATTTTAGACCATATGCAAGTTTTCTATTTTTCATAAACATTTGAACTATTTCAGTAAACATTTAGAAGACTGTATACTGCATTACCGACTTTCAGTGTGACAGCTGACAGCATACATTTTCTGGATGATCGTGTAAATGTTGGTGCAGCTGCAGCAACAGTAAGACATGCTGAAGCTTAAACTGTTTGAATACATTTTTCATCAGATTCACAAATTGCCAATGATTTACACTCACTATGTTAATTCTAGATGGCCAGTAAAAATAGAAAATAAAATTTGAACCCTTTAAAATTATTTTTGGAAGTATTTTTCAACTGTACAAATAAGAAATTAGGGCAAGGTATCAAATTATCCGTTTCCTGCAAATAAATAACACATTAAACAACAATAGTGCTTTAGAAGAGGAAATCTCTGTGTTGAAAAAATATATAAATACAACTTATGTACATTAATACATAAATCTGTTTTTACTACCTAGGTAATTCAAGTAAAATATTTAGCCTACAAAATTAGAGGCCAAATCCTGTGGACTCTTAGGAGTTTCTGAAGTAAAGGCTGCAGGGTTTGGCCCGAGTTCAGGATTGATTTTCACTGCACTGCAGTCACAAAAACAAAATCATTTCAGCATAATCTTAATTCTGATTTATCTGTATTAACAGACCTATCAACAAAAGCTATTTCATTGCATTCTATTTATTGCAATATATAATAAATTCCAAAGTACCTCTCCCAAGCTCTATTCATTATTATATTAATCATTAAAATTGCAAGTCAGAACAAAACCGAACCAGCACTACTGCTTGCCAGATAACAAAGATAAATCAGCCAAACAAGAGGTACCAATTGAAAATACCTCAAGTATTTGCTATTCTCTCAGATACAAACACTCAAATTTCCCTTCACACTCATAGCCCACAAAAAACTTGGGGGAAAGGATGGGCTTTGCAATGTGCCCAGAATTTCAATAGATCTGTACTGTTTTGGACCAAAGGGGAAGTGCATTCAAACTGTAAATACCCCTCCTTCTGCCTATGAAATATTGAGTTCCAGGGATTTCTATGGGTTTCCAAATTGCCAGTTAACTGCTCCTACTTCTGTGGCTCCTTGACTTGACATGCAACTCCCACTGGAGCGCTCTGTGGAAGCAATGACATGAAGAAGAACAATTTGTCACCGGGCCCTGCCCAAAGAGTATCGAATTTAGACTATAAATGATATCTGAAGCTCTCAGCCGCTCTCTGTCATCAATCAAAGTACCTAAGTCTGCTCTCTCAGAACACCGAATTCCAACTGAAAATTATAAAGTCTTCAGCCATGCCACCATCATGTAATTCCTTAATGAATTTCCACAGGTCAGAGACTTTGTCTCTGTATGGGATCTTAGCTCAGTGCTGATAAAGTTAATGGATGCACATGCTGACCTGCTGGGAGAGTGCGCTTTATTTCACCAGACAACTAAAAAAAAAAAATAACACAATTACATATGTGAACAGACTGAGTGAGGCTTTGATGACTGATCCTTCTTTCACTGTATTCCACGGGGACAAAGTTGTCTTTGTATTTGCATAGATTTTTTTTCACAAAACTAGTTTCACTTAAATCAGAGCATTCATCTCCTGGCTATCCTTCCAAAACCTCATTTCACCTGGGAAAAACTAGGCTTCATATACTTGATGTTAAGGGGATGTTATATTCTATTTTAATGGGATGACTCCATTTAGGAAGCCTCCTAATATAAGCTTTTTGTAACATTGGGAACCAGCATAAGGGAAATGCCATTTCCACTCTAAGCCTGTTGAAATGGATTAGATTAGGCATTGAGATGTGTCATGCTTCAGCTAGGGTGATATTATGAGAGAGCCTTAGATCTCACTCTGCTACGGATAGCTTGCTTCCATAGTGTTTCCATTACAACTATATGCAGCAATTCTACTTGGAGTTTTGGACACACATTTACCAAGACTGTCTCCAGTCATCTGGCATCTAGATATGATGGTCTACATTGGGAAGAAATTCTTTGATCCTTGTTTAGTTAGAAATTTTCAGCCCACCTTCTTGAAGTTTGTACTGCTAGCTAGACTCCCATAATTGATAACCTGAAGAGGCTTCCAGTAATTGTGGTGGTTCTAGAGAGTTTTGACTTTGTGTGCTGATGCTACCCACTCACACATTCTCGTATTCCTCAGAGCTCCACTCTCTTACTGGATTCTGGAATTTAGCAGAGGGAACCGAAGTGAGGAGCTGAAAAGCCCTTTCTACCTCATTTATAAATACTGAATGCTATGACTGCGCTCATACAGTCCCAATGATCCCCAGAAGGGTCCCAAAATCGTGCAGCACCAGGGAAATTGTGCAGCACGTGCTGCTTACAAACAGGGAAGGACTGGTAGCGGAAGTGGAAGTCGGTGGCAACCTGGGCAGCAGTGACCATGAGATGGTTGAGTTCAGGATCCTCACAAAAGGAAGAAAGGAGAGTTGCAAAATACGGACCCTGGACTTTAGAAAAGCAGACTTTGACTCCTTAGGGGACTGATGGGCAGGATCCCCTGGGAGGTTAATATGAGGGGGAAAGGAATCCAGGAAAGCTGGCTGTATTTTAAAGAAGCTTTATTGAGGGCGCAGGAACAAACCATCCTGATGTACAGAAAGAATAGCAAATATAGCAGGCAACCAGCTTGGCTTAACAGAGAAATCTTCGGTGAGCTTAAACACAGAAAGGAAGCTTACAAGAAGTGGAAACTTGGTCAGATGACTAGGGAGGAGTATAAAATATTGCTCGAGCATGCAGGGGTGTAATCAGGAGGGCCAAAACAGAATTAGAGTTGCAGCTGGCAAGGGATGTGAAATGTAACAAGAAGGGTTTCTACAGGTATGTTAGCAACAAGAAAAAGGTCAGGGAAAGTGTGGGACCCTTACTGAATGGGGGAGGCAACCTAGTGACAGATGTGTGGAAAAAGCTGAAGTACTCAATGCTTTTTTTGCCTCGGGCTTCACAGACAAGGTCAGCTCCCAGACTGCTGCACTGGGCAGCACAGTATGGGGAGGAGGTGAGCAGCCCTCAGTGGTGAAAGAACAGGTTAAAGACTATTTAGAAAAACTGAACATGCACAAGTCCATGGGGCCAGATACTCATTTCATATTCAGGCTTACCCTGACATTATTAGTTTTCCAGGTATCCCAATTCCATAAGAGATTTTTGGAAGCAAGCCTCCTCACTCTACCAAGATTGTGACTACCCCCCTTAAGATAGTCCAGGAGTCACAAGGAAAAAGCCTTATGGAAAGAATAGCAACTTAACATGGTAACATAAAAATTAATAGAATTATAAGCAATTGATATCTAAAGAAGATGGTACAAATATTTAGGTTACAAAAATAACACAACAAGATAGCAACTGCAATAAAATCCACAAGCTAGTATAATATAAAATAGGCTTGGAAGGATTAGATTTGTTGGTAAATGTTGATATCATCATATGCACAAACCAACAAACAGTATTTCCATTGATAATCGAAATTTACAGACAGGAAAATTAAGAAAAATGCTGCTTGAGAACTTAGAGTTTGATTTAAGGCTATTTACTTCATATATTTTGCATGTGATGTTAAAAATTTGTGTGTTAATGGTTATAAACCTTTAACTTTTTGAATCTCAACATCTACCGGTTATTAAATAATGATTATATGACCTACATTGTCTAACTTCCAATCATTTCCAGCAATTGCATAAATTTAAATCAAATCTTAAAATAATCATTGATACCTGTCAAAAATAGTTTTTTAAATTGAATTCTGCCATGCCTACATATAAACAATATAGCAAGAATCAGTGGCATTGGTGACTATGTGGTCTACTTGTTCTAGCACAGGGCTGGGAATCAGGAGTTTTGGCGTGCATTCCCAATTCATCACTAACTCTGTGTAACCTTGGGCAAATCACATCCTCGATTTCAATTTCTTCATCTATAAAATAGGAAAAATAATTCCTAACAAGGCTTGGAAGCCTCTCACAAGCTAGTACGGTATTCTCTACTTGGGATTTAAAGTCTTGCTATATATATTGCATTCAGTGACTGAATATAATAGTGGAATATAGACACAGGACAGGAAACAGGTCACCATCTGTGTCAGGTATATATGAATGAGTGTGTTGGGTGGGGTGGTTATGGTTAATTTCTCTGGCCAGTAGACTTGCTTTGTTTTGGGGTGGACTGGGAAAATCCTGAAACATGTAACTCTTTACAGTGAGACAGGAGATGTAACGGGGAAACAAGAATGGTTAAGAAGCCTGTAACTTTATACTCAAAATTTCCCTGAAAAGGAGATATTCTGGAGAAATTAATATACTTGAGAGGTCAAGAGCATGATGCACTGGAAACTCTGCAAGTTTCAACCCCTGGAGTTTCCAGAGTAACTTTTCTCCCTCTCATGGTTTTTCTGCTGGAGGAAATTTATCATATAATTTCTATGTATTGATTCACTGCCTCCAAGTAATAAAAATGTAAAAGCCCACCTACTTTATTTTCATGACTCAGAAAAATAACAATATTGTGAGTTCTTACTACTGGTCACTGTACATAACTGCACATACCAAACGTTATTCTCAGACTTGTGGCAACAGCATTGATAAAAACAGTGCATAAAAAAAGGATATAAACTAATACGTAGAAATTAGTTTTTGCATTTTGGAACAAAGCAACATTTATCAATAGTTGCTAAAAAATAGAGAGCAAAAATATATTTGAGCTTTTAGAAAATATTGTTACAGAATGGACACTATTAATAAAAATTATTTAAAATGTATGGAATTTGATCATGTCAATTTCTGTTGGTTAACCAACAGCAACATGACTATGAAGTTACATTGCAAACTGCAGTTCATAAATTGAGATTACAAATGAAGCTTTATAATTACCCTCGCACTGGAATATTCATATTTTGTGCTGATTTAGTAACTTCTTCAAATTTTTCTATGCTTTCTTCTATAGAACAATTAATATTCATTTTGTTGAAAGATTCAGATGCTGCACCAAATACTGATACCTCTGTAGCTCCTGCTGCAATCTGTAAAATGTAATTCAATAAAACAGAACTGTAAAGATGTATAAATATAAGTTAATTATCTGTAATTAAAGAAGAAATTCTAGATCCTTAGTTTTAAACAAATTTAACAATATATTAATCAATATAGTATACAGTATATAACTCTATCTGAAGTTATAATAATTGCAACTTTAACTAAATTTTCTTCAGTCTATTTGCAACCATAACGACTTTGTATCATTTGCTCTCTTAATTAACTCAAATCGCCAGGATATGCTTCCTTCCCTTTGTTATTAAATGGGATAAGGCCAGTTACTGCTTTATCAATTAATACACGAGTTTTTTAAATGATAAGCTTAGGTATTAAATTGTAAGAAATGATGCAAAATATGATAATAAAATAAACTATTAACTGCAGTGATTCGGGCATATTACATGCCATTTATGCTACTGACACGTGCTGTTTAAATATCATTAATAGAGCAAATAAAAAACAATCTAAAATGTCAATTGGCTCCACACAATCTGTTCTCCATACCTTTAATGGGACTTATCCACATACATCCCTGATCCTTGGGGAGAGGGGGGAAATCCCTCAAGAATTCTGGGCTTGTCCACACCCAGTTTTTGTATCACTTTAATCTTATCTGTTTCAAAACAGATTCGTTAAATTGGTACAACCTCCTAGTGTAGACAGAGGTAGGAGGTGCTTATGTCAGTATAGTTTATTTCCCTAACTGTAGGAGCATCTTTATCTACACAGATAGCTAAAGCAGTACAAATATGGGGAGAAAGGCAAGCCAACCCCTTTACACCATTCTCCTAAAAAACCCAGGCTCTGGGTTAGGTCCCAATCTGGCTGTGCACAAGCAGTCCCCACTTACATCACAGGAGGATGGAGAGGGTCAGACTGACTTTCTCCTATGTTCTTGATGGTGTTATTTTCTTTCCCTGTGGTTCTAAATGGTTTGGGGTATGTCTACACTGCAATTAAAAGCTGACTCGGGCTAAACAGTTGTTTAACTGAGGTATAGATGTTTGGGATGGGAGGGTCCCAAAACTTGGGCTGCAGCCTGAACCCAAACGTCTACACTGGAATTAAACAGCCCCTTAGACCAAGCCCCACAAGCCTACATCAGCTGGCACGGGCCAACCACAGGTTTTTAATTGTAGTGTAGACATACCCTTAGTCTCCATCATGCAGCTCAAACACAATCTGTTCTGAGATTAAACTGCTGACAGCAATAAGGGGAAGAAGGTAAAAAAAATTTGAGGGAGAAGGGAACAACATTCCATGAGAAAAAAGTACTGTTTGATTCGGAAGGTTTGTTTCCCATTGGAAGGGAACCAGGGCAAAGACAGTGTGATATAGCCGTCACAGCTCGCCTAGCACAATACAGTAGTCAGCAAGCCAGTCTCAGAATAAACACTGGATCCCAGTTCAACAGACGAGTTAGGGTCAGAGTCAGGCTAGGGTGAGAGACCAGAGGTTGTGGCCTGGCTGGAGCCCCAGGGCAGGGGCAGAGTCAGGTTACTAAATCACAGGCAGGGTCACAGATGACTATTAGGCTGAAATTAGGAGGCAATATTCAGGCTCAGAACCAGCCTTGGGTCAGAGACCAAAAATCAGCAAGTCAGGTCACAGCAAGCCTGAAGTCTGCATAGTTGCCCAGACAACTTCCTGGGCCATACACCATGGTTAAATAGTGATCATGGGCCAATCAGAAGGCCACTGTCACTCTGGACCATTTGGGTGGTATGTCTTGCTGTGCCTAATCTCCACAGTACTCTTTGGAGAGGTCTTGACATGACAAGGTAGGCATGTCAGCTTCCCCAGCTCCACAGCCCTGGGTTCTAATCCTGAAGATTCTTACGCCTGTTCTCCTAAGCCCCTGTGTTTTCTTCTCCTATCCACCACCCTATCTCATGGCTCTCAGCATGCTGATCTGCAGCCTCATCCTAACAGCCGAAGAGCAAGTCAGCAGGTTCTGCTGATGCTGAACTCTAAATTCAACAGGTCAACGTACTGCAGGATTGGTGCCTAAACTCCCAGCTTTGGTAAAAAAATTAAATTGCCATCCCACAAGAATTTCCAAATTTCATTTGGTCCCCACTCAGAAAAAAAGTAGAAATCTTGACTTTTTTCACAAAATGAAATATTCTAAAATATTTTAACCTTATTGATACTTTTCTTTTCAGTAATGTTGAAACTGTTAGTTTTGACTTTACCCTTTTGACTATTACAATATAGCATAAGATAAAATAATAGTCAAAACAAAACATTTTGACCTTACAGAAAAGGTCTGACAAAAATCAGTATTTCACAAAAACTTTTCAATTTGGCTGAATCTGCATTTTCTGATGGAAAAGCATTTTATTGGGAAATTTTCAACTGGCTGTAGCATCAACAAGCTAAAGAATGAAAAGGAATTATTTGTTTATTTCTTAGGGTATGTACTACAACATTTACGGCATCTTTCAAAGGACTGTGTGGTTGATACTGACCACTAAAATTACGTTTATGGAATTTAATCTCACTCTGTAAAATTTGCGAGTTTGCTTCATGAAAACTGACATTTTTTCAGAAAAAAAAATACAGCCTAATTCTAACAGGACTGGGTGAATGATATGAAATAACTGGTTTAAGGTACCGTGCATAAAGTGTTTGAAACATGAAGAACTCAACTGTAGACACACTCTAGCAATCCACTTACAGCAGAATGAAAACCTTGAAGATTAGGTGTGAGTACAGGATATTGGACCCCAGGATGCCGCTCGATCCTTCTCATTACTTCTGTGTGATCTGCCATCTTAAATACATAAATATTTTGCATTTATTTTTCAGTTATGCTAATTAACAATTATCTGACTATTTTAAAAAAGGTAGATATGAATTTAAGGATGGATGCAATTCTGCTTTGTCATAAGGTCATATAATAGCAGAAATAATACACTATAACAGAGCATTGACTGCATTACACCGTGCTTTGTCTTGTTTATGCATATAGTTAACGAAAAAAGTATGATCTATAGCTAGAGAGTTGAAAAACGTGCAATATGTGTGAGAAAAAAATAACAAGATTCTATGGAATATAAAAGTTTCTGTGTTCATTTCTATTTTGATAATCCAGAAAATACAATATTCAAGCAAATAAGGAAGCCATGATTTAAGAGAGACATTGGTGGTGACATGCCGTATAATTTAGGGTTCATTAAATTTATGAAGAATGCTACTTCGTTATATAGAATTATCATAAATACTACAAAAAAGCCTATAATTTTCAAGCTAGTATATAAATGTTAACCCCTCTGTTTTACTAAGGCATTCATCATGAGAATGGGATCTGTCTGTGGGTTTAAACTTTTCCTGCAGCTTCCACATGTCATAATCTTCTCCTTATTAGAGCAATTTATTACTATGTAAATTATTCTAGTTTAATAAACAGAGGATTATGATGTCAGGTGTAGACAAGGTGCAGCAGCAGATGAAGCCTAAGGAACAAAGATTCTATTGTCAAACAAAAGCCTTTGGGTAAAATTTTCAAAAGCACCTAAGTGACACAGGAGCCCAAATCTCACCGAAAGTCCATGGTACTTGTGCACTTCTGAAAATGTATCCCCTTAATAATAAAGAAGTTAAGAGAGTTATAGAATATAGAAATGTATGCAGAATTAATCCTAAATATTATTAATTCAAATATCTAAAACTAATTCAGTTCTTGGCTCCATTCTCTTTGTGCCCTAACAGTTCAGCAAGGAATTTCTTGAGTGGTGTAAACGCTATATAACAGCCTCTATAGCAATTTTTCCTCCTGTTCCCCCACATAAAAGGTGTTTCTGGGCAAGCCAAGGGCAGACGGAAGCATGACAGGACTGTTCAGTGTGATTAGGAACATCCCTTACATTGTTCTAAATTACACTGAGACCTGGATTAGCTGCTGGTCAACCCCAGGATCAGGGGAGAGGAAAGATAAGTTTGGACAGACCTAAGGCCCAATAGGCTTACAGTCAAAAGATTCACAGTCATTCATTTGCCGGTTTCTTGTTTGCAGAAATAAGGCACAAACTAAGGAATTATTCTGTAAATCTAAGTAAAACATTTTGGTATACATTGGGCTAAATTCTGGTTTAAGATGCTCAAGTACAATTCCCATTTTGACACAACTCTAATGAGAGCTGCAATGAGAATCTAGAGACAGAACTGGCTCCCTTAAGGGACAATTAATTCTTTTACCTACATTGATTACGTTACCCTTTCTGTCCTCTATGTCAGTGGTCTCCAAAGTGGGGTGCGCGCACCTCAGGGGGTGCGCAAGATCCTTGGGGGTGGGCAGCAGAAGGAGCACTTTTTTTGTTTTGTTTGCACTTTGGCAAAAAATTTTTTACTGATAGGACTGCGCAATCAAAAAGTTTGGAGACCACTGCTCTATGTCACTATTCACTCCAAGTCAGCCCAAATGCCAGGAGAGAAAGGTGACTTTTAGTAATCTAAGTCCAGTACTGGCATACAGCAGTTGCTGAATTCTTAGCCTAGCTCTACCCCTGACTCAGTGTATAACAATTAGAGCTAGTCGGAAAACTTATGCCAGAAGGTTTTTTCATTAGTATTTGTTGATTTGTCAAAAAGTAAACATTTTGTGCAGACAGTTCTAATTTTGATCAAGTTCTAACAGAACCCAGACAGAGTTATGGCAGAAACTTGCTGTTTTTCCTGCCAGATTGCCTGCCCTGCTCCTTGGCAGCCCAACTGAATGACTGCTGGGGAGCTGGACTTTCAGGGTCCATGGTTTCCACCATGCATACTGGCTCGGAATCCATGGCTTCCAGAGTCCCAGGTCCTGAGGCAGCTGCCAGGTGGACCAGCCTGGAGCCAGGGCTCCATTCCTTTTCATGGAGAATTTCAAAATTTTGGTTTTTATTCCAAATAAAAATTAAACCAAATTTTAACATACTGAAATCCTCCATGAAATGGAATACCTTTCTCCACCCTGCTCTACTGGCAAGTCACTTAATCACAGCAAGCCAAGTTCTACAATGGGAGCCAGAGTGATTAGAAATGTGAGTAAAAAATAAAATTAGCTTGCATTTTTCAATTTGAATCTCATCAAACTGGCGCACATGTCTTCACCATTTTGTCCTTTTTCCATTTGGAAATCATTTCCCCCTCTAATGTTAGGAATGGAAAAATTAATAGGTCTGTTTTTACTTTCTTGCTTTTACAACATCCATTAGAAAGAGTAACAAATAGTGGCAGTAGTGTTAGATAGATGATTGCCACAGTGCAAACATTATTTTTGTGAACGACAGTGGTCATTATACCTCATTATTATCTTTTCCAAGATACACAGATGTAGTGGGGTATGTCTGACATTCAAACCTTTTCTGTTAGACTGGAGAGAGAAATTCTTCCTTCAAATTAAGATAGGCTTACAGCATTCCTTTGTTCATATTAGAATTGTTGGAGAAAAAGTGAGTTTTTACTATTTTGTTAGGTATAGCAAGTTAGATGTTTTATTAACTTTTACATGTGCAGAGGGAGAGCTGAACAGGTCTCTCCCTGGTAACTAATTACAGCAAGCATTTATACCTTTCATTACAAAAATAATGAGAGACAGCAGCATTTTTGTTTATACATAGGCCATCTTGATATACCTTGATATAACTATTTAAATACCTGCAGGTTTTCGGGCCATAATGTACGTACATAAAATAAGCTGGGGTACCCTTAGGGGGTGAAAGGGAAGACTTAGACTGTCCCCCACCCACTTTCCAATTACACACTTAAAGGGGAAGGATGCCCTGTTCGCGCTAGCGGTTTATAAACTAAGGACTTTTCCTACAGGGTATTTACACAGGAGTGACTAACGAGGATAGCCATGACCCCCTACACCTTTCTTTAGCAAAGAGCGTCGGCTAATTTTAGAGAGAAAGCGCCGCTTACTCTGTTGCATTTAGTGAGATGGTTAGACTGTTAGTGGCTTACACGGAGAGGAAAAGGGGAGGGAAGATGGGTGCACACACTCCTAGACCCAGGTAGCCTCCTCGCCGGACGATGCCAGGCCGAGTCAACCTACATGGGTCGGATCTTCTAAAAGATCCTCTAGTTACCGGGCTTGCGTTAGAGTAGTTTTGGTCACGAGCCAAAAGACTTCGCAGAGTACTTTGGGCGTTTTCCGGTAACACTTAATTTACACTGTGTACACACACACACACACACACCAAGGCCTTTTACCAGGTACTACTTTTGAGTACCTTCAGGTACTATTTCCAAGTACCTCGATGCATTACTTGAGGCGGTAAAAACCCCTCTTGAGGCGGTAACAACCCCTCAACACAGGTGCAAACCCTATGCACCTAGCATATGCTTACAGGGGGCGGCAAACAATTTCCCTATTACGCCGCTTAGCATCTGACCTTGCTGCACAGTTAATAAGTTTGGATGGCGTGAGCCCAACAGGGGCAGACGGCCCCACGGACAGTTCTCCTCCGACACCCCAATAGAGATTTTAAAAGGTCTTTTACCTTTATTGTGGCGCCATGGGGTTCGAAGGGGAACGATCCGTAGCAGCTGCCGTTGCCTCAGTGGGCGTTGCCATCCCGGACGAGCCCCCAAATTGTTGGAGAAAAACTGAGTTTTTACTATTTTGTTAGGTACAGCAAGTTAGATGTTTTATTAACTTTTACATGTGCAGAGGGAGAGCTGAACAGGTCTCTCCCTGGTAACTAATTACAGCAAGCATTTATACCTTTCATTACAAAAATAATGAGAGACAGCAGCATTTTTGTTTATACATAGGCCATCTTGATATTTTATTTTTTTAGTTGTTTTGACTTTTGCCAACATACAATTATTTTTTATACCTTATTTACCCAAGGTTTTTTACACTTTATTTATGCTGAGGTTATTATAACTTTTTACACAGCTCTTTTTTACCCGCCTTACACAATTTTTGCTTTTACAAATTTTGCGTTATTAGGGTTACAGTTAGCCTAACTTTTGCTAACAAACGTCATGCATTACAGGTTTTTTTTGTTAGTTTTTTTTTTTGCTTCCACAGCATGAAGATTTCTAACTATATACTTACGAAAATCCTATTTACACCGAAATCATAGCTTATCGCTCCAAAAACACAGTCAGTCAAGATCTGGTGTTATCAGATATGCTATTGGGGGATACTGTGCCCCACTATTATCACTTATCTCGAATAGCTCCCCATGGGTACAGGATGTTGACAGAGGGCACTATATCACTTCAACTGTTGACTAGGCTCTCACATTTGGGGTCATTCTTCAGTTTCCACTTGGTCATATTGTCACCAGTCGTTGCCATCCCAACTCTCATTCCATTAAGAGTACACCAGGGTTTTCATTTGAGCTCAGAGCCTGGAGAGAGTTGTTCTGAAGGAACCAGATTCTCCAAGATCAATGGCATTTCCTGCCATTTTATTTCTCTGTAACCTTCCATAGTGGTATTTTGTGGTCAGGAATTTTCAGAAGTAAAGCTCTTTCTGGACTTCAGCCTTTTGGGTGGTATAATGTGTCCATACAAGTGGGTGTCTTTGACGATGCACCTGTTTTTGTCTCTTCTTATTACTAAACATATCCCGCTTCACTGATGGCAGTGCAATCCTTTTGGGGCAGGATAGCAACAGTGTGGGAGTCAGTATCACACTCCCTGAGATGACCTTGCAGGACTAAGTTTAGTATCGATTTTGTGAGTATGGCTTGAGCGTGACCATACTGGGGCGCAGTACTCTGCAGTAGAGTAACTGAGCAAGACTGGCTGCTTGGAGTTTTTATGGGTCAGCTC